TCATCAGAGTCCTCTAGGTAAGGACCCAGAGAAGAGGATTCTTAGGGACCTCAAGATCCCCCATCCCCCCGATAAACACATTTATTTGCAGATTAGAGTCAGAGACTCAGAGACCCTTGACTAAAGGGTGGCTTGAGGGTGGAGATCCTGCAGATACATTATCACCCTAAATCAGGGATCTGTGGTCAGTAGGGAAGAGCATCACAGATCCCCACTACAGGAAGGGACTGTGGACTTGGCATACAGGGTGCCAGGTCCTTCCTCAGCCCTCCCACCCCTGGGCACTAGCCTGAAACCTGAGTCCTAAGCAGCTCCTGGCAGAGCCTCCTGTCCAAGGCCCAGGGCTCTAGGTGTTGTTCTAATTTATGAGGCCACGGGACCTGGCCTGATGTTTTCCTTCGTCATTCTCTCGGTAGCAGGCATTGCTGCTCTGCCAAGCTTTGCCACATACCCTTGACCTCCCATGGACCCATCCAACATCATCCAACCGGGTCTGTCTATTGAGGTTGGAGGTGAGAAGCGCAGCCCCGTGCTAGCTGTCTGCAGCCATCAGTGGTCATGCTCACTCAGCGACCCAGCCACCCAGTCATCCACCCCACAGCCCACAATGACTCTCTAAGGAAATGAGCAGGGAAGAGCCATGCCCCAAACATGAGTCTCAGGAAGACAGATTGAGAGAACCCCTGGCATCCTGGGCCTTGCTCCTGAGGCACTTCTTGGTCTGACTTTAGGTCTCCAAGGGTGAAAGGGACCTAGTACCTAGCTCATGAAGTCAGTATGAGGGCTGAGCGTATGCAAATGACTAAATGCATATGAAATAAGCATGTAAATGTTAGGAAGGCTGCCGGGTGGCCAAAAAGTGTTAGGGGGTGATATTAAGTGAATAATGGCAAGATCGCTCTTTCTCGTGTGTATGTGTGTGTGTGTGTGTGTGTGTGTGTGTTTGTGTGGTGTATACTCACATGTGTATGCAGGGGTGCATGTGCTTATATGGGCATCTGTGAAAACTCACAGAGGCAAGAGGACAATATTGGGTGACCTGCTCTATCTGCCTTAATATCTCTCTCTCTGTGTGTGTTTGTGTGTCTCTGTCTGTCTCTCTTTCTCTTTCTCTGTTTCTCTCTTGTGTCTCTGTGTGTATCTCTCTCTCTCTCTCTCTCTCTCTCTCTCTCTCTGTGTCTCTCTGTGTCTTTGTCTCTCTCTCTCTCTCTTTGAGACAGCCTCACTATGCATCACTGTCCTGGAACTCGCTGTATAGATCAGGCTCTCCTGGAACTCATAGATATCCACCTGCCTCTGCCTTTCAAGGACCGGGGATTATAAACATGATCCCTGCATCATTTTTTTGAGTAAGGGTCTCTCATTGACCTTGGAGCTAGGCTGCTAGCCAGTTAGGCCCAGTGAGCCTCCTGTCTGTTCTCTCAGCACTGGGGTTACTGTAATGTTTATGTGGGTGCTGGCATTTAAACTCAGGTCCCACCCACTGAACCATCTCTCCAGGCTGACAATAAGGTCTTTGAAAACCAAAACAAAATTAACACAAAAAATTGTCTATTACTGTTGAGCCCAAAGATTCTAAGTTCCTCAAAGCAGCCTCCACCCAGAGACCACTCACCCCACGTGAAAGAATGGTGGGGCCTGGCATCGGACTGGCAAGGCAGTTCCCACCAGGGTCACAAGGTCTGGAGAAGAGGATTACCTTCACCCTCAGTCCTTGACGGGGGAGTGGGGCTTGTTCATTCACCTTTGTGACCTGATGCGAGAACAAGGGGCCCCCACCTTCCTTCCTACATAACTGGGTGAGCTACCTACAGGCCTCGCTGTGTGGAATCTATTCTGAGGCCCTGGGGGTGACAGCATCACTTGGGATCCTGAACCAGAACCTGTGTCTCAGCCAGGAAGGACTTGTTAAGACGTAGAAGGCTGGGTGGGGGTGGTGATGTTTCGGGGTAGAGGACTCCCATCCAGGGTGGAGGGTGGCCAGGGGTCACACAGGGTGGGGTGGAGGAAGACGCATGATCTCTGAGCTGGACAGATTTACAGGGGTCCTGGTTGTCACCAGGTAAATGGCTTCCTCTTTCTGAGCCTCATTTTCTTCATGGGCGAATCAGGATGCTCAAAGAGCATCTTCCAGGTCTCACACAGAACAAAGAGGGTGGTGCATCACTTCCTAGTGTTAAGTGGCCATTGACCCCTCCTTTTTCTGTCTGCCTGAGAGGAGCCTGGTCCCTGCAGTACTGGACATGACCCAATGGAGAAGGCTCCTTTCTGCCCAACATGTGATTTCAGCTGACAGTGACTTTGCTTCCCTGAGGACGGCTGACATTGTCTGGAGGCATTTTTGGTTGTCATAGTGTGGGCGGGGTGAGGGGGATTGCTACTGACATTGTGTAAGCTGAGGCAGGAATATCGTTCATCATGCTACACCATACAGACAGTCTGCTCAGCAAAGAATTACCCGGAGAGCTTGTGGGTCTCTGCTCCAGACGCATGCTGTCCAGGATGGTGAAGGTCAGCACAGGTGACCGTGGGGCCCCTGCAGAGTGGCCAGCTGCCCCACTGCAAACAAACTTTGAGTGTAACAAAGTCTCTCAGGGGAAACAATGTCAGCTTTCTCATGAACCATCTTTCCATGATCATATATTCCAATGATAACATTTTAGATATGTTGGGCTTAACAAAATACAGCATGAGCATTAATTACGTCTCTCCAACTTGTGTGTGTGTGTTGTGCATGTAACATATGTCGGGGGATGTGGGGGGGTGAGTGAACATGCCAGAGGAGGGTGTTGTCATTCTGCTGACACTCTCTGCCTGGGTCTCTCACTGACTAGGCTTGTAAGTGTTAAGTTCCCAGTGTCCTTGATGTCTCTGCCCTCCACAGAGCACAGGAGCATACAGCCGCATCTGGCTTTTTATGTGGGACCTGAGGATTCAAACTGAGACCTCCATGAATGAGAAGCAACACTTTTAGTCTCAGAACCATTTCTTCAGCCCTTTTATTTCTGTGGTTTTGAGACAGGGTCTTAATAAGTAGCCTTGACTGGCCTAGAAGTTGCCGTGTAGACCAGGCTGGTCTCAGACTCACAGAGGTCCATGCTTGTCTCTGCCTCCCAAGTGCTGGGTCTGAAGGCCATTTTCTTATTTTTCTGAGGTGTGCATGCATGTGTTGAGGGAAGGTTGAGAACGGGTCATGCTGGTAGCCCAAGATGACCTGGAACTCGCTATGTAGTCTAAATGAGCCGTGGACTCAAGTCCTCTGGTGTTGGGATTACGGGTGTTAGCCACCAATCCCATATCCATTTCCAGTTAACTTACTTTAAAACACAGACCTAAAGCGATGACTGTGGCCTGCATTCTGCCTCTTCTGGGCAGGTGCTGGTCTGGGCTGTGCTGACCCTTGGTGTTGGGGAACTGTCAATACTGTGAACTGTGAGTCCTGTGGTACTTCCTGGTGAAGCTAACAAGAGCTGGCACCTGCCCTCTTGTCCCCTGCCAGGCTGGTTTCTCTCTGCTAGAGAGGAGCAAGGGCAAGGACTTGGGTATGAACCCCTTTTGCTCCCTAGCCCCCAGCAGAGGCCCTGTGCCAGCTTTTCAGACAGTGCCCACAGTGTCCCAGCAAGCAGACGGGCATGGTGACAGCTGTGGCTTAGGGACCTGAGTGCCCTGGATCCTGGCTTACCCCTTGGCAGTGCCCAATTCAGAGCTGGGAAAGGGGAGAGATGGGCACTCTGCCAGGCCACTGGCGCCTAGACCATACTCCGCCACTGCATTGCAATCTGTAGGGCCCATCCAGTCCTCTTTTGGGGTCTGTATGCTGGACAGTGAGGTGGAGATCCAGGTGACATGGAAGCTGGGACAGGCTTAGGAGTAAAGGAGCAGAGAGGGGCCCTGGTGGCAGGCTTGCTGGGATCAGCAGGGCCAGTGGCTCCTGGAGAAGTGATCAGGCAGCTGGGAGGGAACCAGAGAATGCGAGCGGAGAGTTTAACAGGAGACACTCAGGTGGGCTTGCAAGGGCTTGGGAGAGCAGGTGGTTTAGTGTCAGAATGATTTGGGATTTGGGAACAAGGCACACAGAGGAGGTACCCACGCGGGTCACCAGCACAGGGTCTCACCTCAGAGTGTGCTGCATGCCCCTCCTTCCAGCATGAAGCCCTCCCACCCTAGCAATGGCGAGCATTTAGAATGTTTGGAGCAGAGAACAGCACATCAGACCTCAATGTGGTCTCTCAGGCTGCTGACCCAACCTCTTTCTCTGGTCCCACACCACACTCTACACACTTTCTCAGAACATAGGACAGTAGCAGCACCATTCCTTCACCCCGAGTCTCCGAGTCTCCTGTACCCCAAACCCCATCAAGGGTGCGGACAGATAGGAGAACAGATCCTGGCTCCCAGGGCATCAGCGGGTGGAAAGTGACCCCTCTCTAATCTCAGGGTGAAGTCAGGAAAGGCATTTGGTGAGACAGCCAGTGCCTCGGGACGGACAACCACCAGCAGCCCCCGGGAGGGTGAAATCGGATAAGTCCCAGGCCAGATTCCACCTGGGTAGCTCCCCTTTGAGCAAGCCAGTCCCCAGCACATCCCAGGGAGTTTCTGCTTGCGGGGAGTAGGAAGTCCGTTGGGGTGAAAGTGAACCAGGAGGGCCTGGGGGAAGTGAGAGAGAGGGGCGTGTTATAGGGAGCCCATGAGTGTTGAGGTCACCGGGCGAGAGGGGCGGAAGAGACCAGGCATGAGATGGTTAGGGTAAAGGGGAGCAGTCTCGGAGAGGGGTGAGGAGGGAACTGTGACTGGGTGTCTTGGAAGCCCTCAAGATTGCGTGGAAGTGGACACTGGCCTGGGCGTTATCAGGTTTCTGGGAGTTCTTGGGATTTCTAAGGATCTCGAACTGAAGGACAACTGGGATAGTGGAGCCAGGCTGTCCTGGTACAGAGTCTCAGAGTCTCGGGGTTTGTGAAGGGTGGGTGAGTTGGAGGGGGTGACTCTCCCACGCGGCTCACCTGTAGACATCGGTCCAGAGCTGCGTGCCCAGCACGTACACCGCCTCCACGCGGCTACCGTACAGCAGCCGCACCGTCCGCTCCCGCACCATCTTATCACCCCTGCAGAGCCGGCTGCTGTCCCCGCAGCTCCCGAGACTGTGCACCTGCTACAGGTGAGCCTGCCGCTGCGCCTGCGCCGGCCGCTGAGCGGCGGGCGGCCTTAAACCACAGCCGGAGGGCGGGGCTGGGCGGGGCTGTCCGCCGGACTCCTCTTGGAGTGGGCCTGCGGCCCGTTCATCAGGCCTGGCCCCGCCCTCCCGGAGCCCCTAACCGCAAGTTGTCAATTCCTATTTTCCATATTTGGCTTGTTCATTCTTTTATTCATTAAATTCTCCTTTCTGGACCTACAGCCCGGAGGGGCAGACAATGCGAGCAGGAGCAGCCGAAGGGACAGGGCAGGAGTGGGTGGGAACACAGAGGAGGCGACCAGATCCAGTCTAGGGCCAGGGAAGGCTTCTCGGAGGAGACCTCTGAGGTTTCTTGAAGAAAATCTTGCCAACACAAGGGGGAGGAGAGTAGTCTTCCGAACATCTTCGGGAAATTGGGCACCCCACATCAGATCTACATTGCCGTGGGAAATAGGGAGTTGGGTGGAGTGAGGGTGGGGGAACCCTACCCCTGGCAGGGACCCGAATGCTAAGCCCAGGCATGAGAAGGGCTGCATGAGCCTGGAACGGCTCTTCTCGGCGGTGATCTGGGAGTGTATTCTGGCTGCCCCAGAGCACTGTGAGCAGGCTGAGCTGGGGCGGGCAGCGAAGACCCCGGCTGGAACGTGAGAGGACAGGAGAGGGGAGGATTGGTCCTAGTAGTGTTTATGGATGGAGATTTGGGTGGCTCCCGGTGGCTGAGAGGGTGTGCCTGTTTGAAGGGACAGGGACCAGGCAGAGGATTAGGGCCCCAGTCTGGGACACCAAAAGGTGTGCCAAGGTAGAGGTCAGCTTGTGTCCTGGAAGGCCAGGGTGCATGTGACATCTAGTGTGTGTGTGGGTCTGAACCACCCTGAACTCCATCCAGGCCCTTTCTCTCTGAACCCAAGCCTGGGACAATGCAGTAGACAGCAGCGTTTGAGGAAGGGGCTTCTTGCTGTGGGCTTGGAAACTGCAGGGTGGGTGGATGGAGGGGATGCATACGGGGGAGGGAGGTGGACTGATGGGAGACCCCTGAATTAAACAGGGGCTGCTCATAGGTACCGAATGCCCAGGCACACCCAGCCAGCCCTGGACTCCAACCTTCTCCTCCAGATGCCCAAATTAGGAGTTGGTAAGGACCCCAGCTGTTCCTGGGTGTCAGAGATCTGGAAGGAATGTGGGTGGAGAAGGGAGAGGACCCAGAGTCCCTGCCAGAGGGGTCACTCACTGTCCCCCCAAAGGCTTCCTGTTCAGATCCTGGGAGAGGCTAGTAACTTCTGATTGGTCCCTGGCAGAGCTTCATCCAATCAGGAGGAAGCGTGGGGAGGGCCACCTGCCTAAGTGGAAATGAATCCCGGTGGCAACAAGCTGATGGAACCCTTCTCCTTCAGAGGCAATCTTGGGCCTGAGCACCCCTCTGCATGTAAGCCAGATGGGGCGCATCTCACCTCCAAGAGGTGCAGAATATGAGGGTTTTTTTTTTTATATCACTCACTCCCACCAAGTAAGTGGGGTCCATTGTGGGGTAAGGACACGTCTCCTCTCAGCCAAGTCCCAAGTGGGTCACAACAGAGCTAGGGTTGCGATGGCATCCGGCAAAGGCCGTGGTTACCCAGCTGAGCAGAAGTAACAGCGAGGACTTATCGCCCGTGCGGTTTCTGCGCCCCCACACTGCTCCCAAGTAGCACTTTCCAATGTATTAGATTATTTTATCTTTCCAGGAACCCTGGCACTTTGGAGATGAAGAAAGAGAGCCCAGAGAAGGTGAAAAATTAACCGGGAGGTGCACAGCTCCTGGCAGCGGCACAGAAGGAACCTGGGTGGAGACACAGGGTGTGTAGGCAGGGGCTTAGTGGGGCGAGAGTGGCTTGTCCTACCTCTAGTAAGCTCACAGGCAATCCCTCAGTACAATGGAGGATACAAAACGATATTAAATGAAACAATAGATAGAAAACGCTGGCAGAGTCTCGTCCAAGGCTCAGGATACAAAGCCCCCTCCCCGCATGTAATCCACCCCTGTCTGGCTACCCACACTCGAGCCTCTGACCTGGTTCTGGCTCACCCCATTGGACCCAGTGCCTGGTTTGATGGGGTGGGAGCTTTTGGAGCCCAAGGGTTTAAAATAGCTGAAGTGGTCACAGCTGTTGGTGGATTGAGGGCCGGAGGTCTCACACATTGCGTCTGTTCCTGCTGCCCCCATGGAGCCCAGAAAATCCACATGGCATCTCTGGGTGCCTTTTGGAGAGTGCCAGCAAAGGGTAGGCTCAGATCTGACCAGTTCCCAGCACTGATGGTCCCGGACCCCTCCTCCAACACAATCCCTGCCAAACACGAGGCCAGAGATCCTGCACCTGGAGGGGTCTCCTATGCCAGGTGCCCTGCTCTCTTGTGGGACTGCTCTGTGCCTGGCTTTGGGGAGCCTGTCTGGAAGGTGACTTAAAACATCCATGAGCCTGCTTTGAGATGGGCAGCTCACCAAGAGCAGAAAAAAAAAAAAAAAAAAAAAAAAAAGGAAAAAGGAAAGAAAAAAAAAAGCTGGTTATTAGGGAAAATTAAAAAAATCATGACCATCCAGGGCCTAGCAGCAAAGACCAATGTGGACATTTTTTGGTAGGACACCCCCACCACCACAATTTTAGGTGTATTCACGCAAATGTGTGGGTGTAAAGGTCAGAGGTCAATGTCAGGTATCTCTCTGTAACACCTTCCACCTTAATTTTTAAATTTTACATATTGTGTGTATGGGTGTTTTGCTTGCATGTATGCAGGCCCTGTGTGTGTGCCTGGTGCCCTGGGAGGCCAGATATCCCAGGCCAGGCATCGGATTCCCTGGAACTGGAGTTACAGACAGCTGTGAGCTATGGTGCGGGTGCTGGTCCTCTGGAAGAACAGCCAGTGCTCTTAACCACGGGGCTGAATCATCGTCCCTCTGCTCCAGCCCTCCCACCTTCGTTTTTGAGGCAGGGTCTCTCTCTGAAGCTGGAAGTCAACATTTTAGCAAGAGTAGGGGAGCAGCGAGGGCACCCACTCCATGCATCTGAGTAAAGCAAGTCCTTTGCTGTGTTTTGAGTCTCATCCTGCAGGTCCTACCCAGGGGCAACAGCCATCACACAGAGCCCTGAGGCTGTGCCAGAAACTGCTCGACATTTTCCCACCTTTAAGCTCACTTCACGGCCCCCACCCCCGCCCACAACAACCCAGTGCAGTGGGCAGTATTGTCACCCCTCCCCCCATTTGAACAGAGTCCCAATCCTTCCAGCAGAAAAGATGTAGGCCTTTGGATTGGGCAGATTTGGGTCTGCTGGGGCGCTCTCTGGACTTCTGTGTGTTTCTCTGTGAAGAAAACACTCCTAGTACCCAGCCTGCATGAGTGCAGAAGGTAAAAATGATGAGAGGCAAATCGCTCAGCCTGTGGTGGCCTGCCAGAGCCGAGTCCTGCTAGTTCATGATATCCTCTCTGCAGATGACCCTTGTCTGAAGGCTTTGCAAGAGGGGCATCTGTGTGCTACACTCGGAAATGTCCACAGTGTAAGGACAGCCTGGTTCTACCTTGTGAGTGGTCGGAAAGGGACTTGGGCTCTATATTAAGGTCATGGGAAGCCACGGAAAGCTCCGGAATATGATGATGGCATGACCTCACTTGAGGAGACTCCCTGTGGAGACAGGAATCTTGGCGGGAGACCAGAGTGGACTTGAGATAGAGGCAGGCGTCCTCCTCTCTGTGACTGTGCCACGGGACCTGCAGGCCTGGCCTGACCTCACCTCCTCACATTCTCCCTTTCTCTAGAAGAGACCTGCTGCTTCTCCTCCTTAGGGATGGGCTAACTGGCTGGGTGGTGAAAGAGGAGCAGCTGGGCATGGTGGAGCAGCTGGAGGATGGTGGAGCAGTGGGGGTGGAGTAGCTGGGAGATGGTGGAGCAGCTGGGGATGGTGGAGCAGCTGGAGGATGGTGAAGCAACTGGGGGATGGTGGAGCAACTGGGGGATGGTGGAGCAGCTGGGGGATGGTGGAGCAGCTGGGGGATGGTGGTGATGGTGGGGAAGAGTGACACAATACTTGTGGTAAAGTGAGCCAACTTCTGCAGTTCTCCAGGTGTCCATGGCCACAAGACACCCCAGGGATTCTGGTGAAGGCTGGAAGAGATGATGGCCACAAGGTGGCACCAGGTCCCCATTTTCTATGCTCAGGGAACCAGCGTTTCTTAGTGAGGTTGGGTTATCTAGAAGCCTCCTGATGCTGTCCAAGCTTGTCTAGCGCCTTCCTTTAGCACCTAAGGATCCTCTTGCTCCCTAGACTTGGGCTGGGATTTAGGGACTCCGTTTGCATCAGGCCAGGTCAAAGCCATGCCCTCTCCCCCGCCCCTCCCCCAAGTGATACAGGCTCTCTAGTCAGAGGAACAACTGAGAACCCAAATGAGGGTCCCAGTGACTTAGCTGACATTGCACCCCACTTTGGGCAACAGAGGCAGATCCTCTAGACCTAGCTTATTACTTTTAATCTGTTTGTTCCGTGAGCCTGGGGTATCAATCAATTTTTAAAATTGAATTAATTTTTTAAAGTGTTGTGTTCCACATGTGTGTCTGGGTGCCCGTGGAGTCCAGAGGTGTCCAGTTCCTCTGGAAATGGGATCACAGATGATGGTCAACCTCTTGATGGCAGTGCTTCAGGTGACAGTGGCCACACAGACCAGTCGGATGAGCTTACAGAGGCAGCGTGGAGATGAAAGAACTTTCTGGAACAGTTCCTGGAGACTTTGGAGCTCAGTGCTATGGCCCTTGCTGCCAGCAGGAGGCACCAGAAACCCAAGGAACCCCGCCTAAGACCTTAAGAGGACAGTGGGAGGGCTCCTGGGAACAGGATAATCACAGATTTCTTCCTCAGAGATGGAGCAGAGCTCAAGATCCAGCATGACACTGCCTAGGAGCTCAAAGTCACAAGAACCTGGATTTGAATCCCTGGGCCAAAGGTGCCTTTCTGTGCCTCGGTTTCCC